AAACTGCAAACGAAGTCGCCCCCAACCCTAGGCATACGCCCAATAGACCGCTTTCATTATGAAGAACCTGAAGCCTGCCAGTGCCGATCCTACATAAACTTGGGCCTGAATCGAGCTATCATAAAAGGCCCTATATATAGTAATTGTTTTGTAATGCAACATATTTAGAAATAGAGGATTAATATTTCAAAAGCTCAATACTTAAATAAAATTCTTACGTTATAACATTACAAAATTCACAATTTTGATTAATTTTGGATGGAAAATTACACAATTTTTATCATGATAATCTTAAGTAAAAAATGGATCTAAATTCTCAAATATAAAATATCATTTGCAAGGCACGAGCCTACTTGACTACTTTCAGTACTTTGTAAAACAAGAATCAACTTGCTTTTAATTTTAAATAGCATTTGTTTATGCAGATACTTCAAATTCCAATCAATAATATAAGTTTGCGTAAAAAAAACGGAAATTGTCCTAAATAGGACTAATGAGTTCCTAAAAAGCACAAATAGGACTCCTACTTTTTAAATTCCCTAAATAGGACTAAACATAGATTTTCTACCCTAAATACCCCTAAGAGTATTAATTCATAATGAAATGCTTTAATTCATAATAAAATCATAAAAAAACGTAAAAAATATTTAAAAAACGTAAAAAAATTATAAAAAATTTATAAAACATTTATAAAATAAAAAATTTAATTTTTATTTTTTTAATTTTTTTTTAAAAAATAATAAAAAATAGTAAAAACCCATAAAAAAATGAAAAAAATTATGGATACATTTCCCACCGCCATCCGCCGCCTCCCAGCACCACCACCTCCGATTGGTGAAATTTATTCCACTTTTGGTAAAAAATGCCATCTTTTTCTGAAAATGCCAAAAAGATGACATAATTACTCTTCAATATGCCAACATTTTCATTGAATATGCCATCATTATGGCATTATTTAAAATGTTGGCATATTTTTCTCCGGTGATGGAGCTGGTGGTGCTGGGGGGTGGCAGGGGTGGTAATGTTTTTTTTTTAATTTTACGATTTTTTTTATTTTTTTATTTTATTTTTAAAAAATATTTTTTTTTTAATTTTTTTAAAAAATATTTTTATTAATTTTCTATTATCTTTTTACAATTTTTAGTATTTTTTTCGATTTTTATTATTTTTGTATGATTTTATTATTAATTAAAACATTTCACAAGTTACAACTTACAAGGGTATATTTGGCCAAACACACATAAATAGTTCTATTAAGGGAATTTAAAAAATGTAGTCCTATTTGTGCAATTTTGCCACTTTTTAGTCCTATTTAGGGAATTGACTCTAAAAAAAATCAATAATATAAGATTTAGTCAATAGCTATAGAAATACTCCGTAGAAAATAGAAGTTAATAAGTTAGTTCATTTGAGTATTTACACATCAATAATTCATCAAATTAGCAAATCATACTAAAAGCTAGATTTTTGGAAATAATAAATCATCAGCATATTCGTTACTTCACGTCTGTATCGGACAATTTAAACTACACGACCAATGTAGTTTTTTTTAATACATACTATATAATATATATGTATTTAAATTTCTGGGCCCCTAATTTTTAAAATTTTTTGGGGCCCTGAGGCCCAAGCCTCACTGGCCTAAGGGAAGGACCGGCCCTGAAGCCTGCACTAGCACTATCTCAATTGGGAATTGACGGATTGCGATTGCCGAAAGGAGTGCGGCTAACTAGTGAGGGCCTCGCCTATGGGTTACGTATGATAAATGAAAAAATTTATACTAAAAAGTTGGGGAAAAAATAATCTGAATTTCAGTCTATCAAAGCCTCCATATATAGATCCTCTGGTAAAAGAGTTCCAGTAAATACTTAAAAACAGCAGTGAAGCTCTTTGCACACAAAAAAAATCAATTGGCCACATGAGGTGTAAAAAACATCCAATTTCTCATTTTAGAAGGTGATCATATGAAATATGATAAACTCATATATATGTTAACATACTTTAATAAAAGTTTTTGGTGTCATTTCAATCAATATTTTATTATTTCTATATTAAATTTGGTCAAGAAATAGACTTTTACGCTTTTTACTATCGTGTACATATATTTTCGACTTTGGAGAAATAAGACAATTATACTAGCTTGGCATTCAATAGCACAAAGTTGGAACTAAAAGAAGCAAATATCATGCATAAAGAGAAAAAAGGGGATCTAACATTAATAACCCACAACACTACTTGTTTCTCTGTGGGGTAATCCAAATAACACGATTCTAGCAGAATTAAAAAATGTTTCAATATTATGCAATTCATATAAACAAGTCGCATCCAAAATCTCAAGAATCAAGACCATTTAAACCGGCCATGAAGTTATATTATTGGTCAGAACCCAGCGGCATTATATTGATGACAATTTGATGGCATGTAACTTTAATTAAGAAACTTTAACCAAATTTTGAAAGGAAATGGTCAGATGAAGTACAAAGTAGATCCCAAAATAATCACTAGAAATATCATGTTATGAAGAAAAAGAGTTTAATGCTCCTTTCCACTCTCTATAAATAGGACAGATTCATAGGTTGATAACTCCTAATTCCCTAAATAGGAGTAAAAACGTTTTGAAATTCCAAAATAGGAGTATCATGTTTTTTATTCCCTAAATAGGAGTAAATTTTTGCCAAGTTTGAGCATTACAAGGCTTTAAACATGACATTTTTTCAAACTTGGCAGATTACTCTTATTCAGAAAATAAAAAACATGATACTCCTATTTTGGAATTTAAAAACATTTTTACTCCTATGTAAATTGCACACGTACATCACATATATGTCAAAAATAGTTTTGCAGAAAAAGAAAAATTGCACCTTTATACTCAAAACTTAAGTTCCTTTTTAATACGTCATTTTATATTAATTGCTACAGCCAAAAAGCTAAATTATTATAAATCTTTTTGCAATCCGTCAATTTATTCTGCTAGTCAAATCTATTGACTGATCCGTTATAACCAACTTGCTAATATAATCCACTATGTGCTAACCGTTATCCGCTAAATGCTGAACATGTCTTATGTCTAACGTTGGATCCCACACCAATTTGAAAAGAGTTCGTAAATAAAAACATGTGGAAGTATGTTTATTAATGCATCAATCATTTGTTCCCAATCATTTGTCCTTGTGGATATGAACTAGATTCAAAGAGTCAGTAATCCTAAAATTAGGATTCACTTCTTGTCGCAAGTACTCACTTGTAAAATACGGAGTATCATATTTCGTTGACCTAACTTTTTTCCATGACAAACAACTCAGGGGAATAAGTAATTCAATTAAAAGCAAATAAAATATTATAGAAATATATATGGAGTATTAATTAATTAAACAGAATTGCAATGTGTGATGAAGTTCTGGAGTCCAATCTTAGAGCCGACGGTGATTAAATCATGGTGCACTTGAGCTCTAAAATCAGCATAAGTGAAAGGCTTATAATGGGAGCTCTCAATCACAACATCATCTTCAGGGAAAACAAAGTATCCTATGGATATTCTCTCCTTTTCTTTATTCACCTTCACCCTGTGCTTTGCACTATTATACTTGTTATCACTAATTGCCTGTAAAATTCATCATCAATAACATAAGTAAATATTATGACTTCATGTAATTGAGAATATAATAAAGAATGCTTTGCACTTTAAATTTCAACAAATCATTCGATAAGTTAAAGGAAATTAACGTGCTCCGCAAATTTATCCAATAACTTTTTAACACCTTCTAACCATTCACATTTAGGGATGTACAAAATTGATGTCATCTTTGTTTTTACGAAACAAAACTGTAATCAGAATCAGTTTTTCAAAAATTGGTCTTTCCTAACTTCTCAAAAATTGATTCTAAGAACAATTTAGGACACTTAAAAGTTAAAAGTGTTCACGCACTACTACACAAACATTTCAATAGTTGTTTCTACTTTTTGCAGGATTAGAAACTATTTTAAGAAGAAGATGCAAACACTTCTTAATTATTTACTACATCTTCACACACAAATAATGACACTCCATGAAAACTCATCTTATAACCAAATATGACTAGAGGAAGATTGTGCGTGGCTTAGAACTATTGGGTCATTCTATAATAATGTATCTTTCCGTCTTAGTACTCTCTACCCGAGAACTATCACTATTTATCATAGGGCTGGAATTTTTAACCGAAAAACCGGAAAAAAAAAACCGAACCGAGTGATAAAAAACCAACCCGAAACCGAACCGACTTGAATGGGACCCGAAAGTTGGGACCCGAATATGAATCGGTTCGGAACTAGTTCTTTGAGTTTGAAAATTGGTTCACACCGAACTGAACCGACTCTTTTATGAAATATTTTTTTAATTATTTTATTTAATTCTTATAACTATAATGTATTTTATGCATTTGGAGGCCGTATGTTACACCATTCCGCAGTAGCTCAGCGGTAGCGGTAACAGGAGAAGTGCCCCTTCTTCCTCACCCAGTTTCGAAACCCCCCACTACTGCTTCCCTTTAGTTTTTCACTTTTTTGCTTTTCTTCCTCGGCAACTCTTCCCTTTGCTCCGGATAGAATAGAGGATTCACTCCTCATATGAGCGTATATAATCTCCCCTTCGTGGCAGATAAAGAATATGCAGCCCGTCATGCTTGAGTGCGAGTATTTGCTACTATATAAACACTAGTTTTGTGTCGCGCGCGTTATGCGATAGGGTAATGTCCAATATTTTCTAGATAAGTTAAACATTATGTTTTTTGTTTGGTTCTCTTGCTCTATTTGGTAGAGAAGTCCATGAAACAACGCAAAAACAAATCCAAAAGATGTGTGGTCTTTAAAAGACAAGGTTGGAGATTGTGATAAGGTAGGAAAGAAGAAATAGTTTTAATGCATCTGAAGCGAGTGAAGCCCTAATGTTTACCTCTATATTTCGAACTCTACAAACAGATGGATTTTGTTTTTTAATGATTTGATTTGTAGACAAGTTGTAAGCTAATTTTGGTATTGTTTTATAGCATTTACCCATTTGAGATGTCTCATCTGATAAGGCTTTTACTCTCTTTTCACTCCATTCATCCAATGATCTCAAGTCTCAACCACTGGGCTCAGATCTTCATTGCTTAAAAAAACTAATGATTTTGAACAATCCAATATCGCCCAAAACGTGGGTGTAAAATCACATTCACCTTATACGTATTCTATATTCATATGTAACACTAATAATATTCATATGAGAGTGTTGGGGATAGGTTTGACTTGGATCCATTGGTGGTGGTTGTAAACTTCAAGGCCGCCAATAAGGTCTTGATGGATGATGGAGAGGAGGGAGCTATCAGTGTGGGCGTCAATTCCCCACGCCCGTCCTTCTTCCTCCTTTCCCGTCTCATCTATACAACGAAGATATCGGTATAGACGTAGAATTCCTGTGTCTTCTGAGAGATAACTTATAACACCCCTTCCTAATTCTTTGCTGCAATTACTTGTAGTTTTTGCTCCAAAATTTATCTTCTCTGAAAGTAGTGCTTCGTATATTGCTTTACCCACTCTGCTCTGATGCTTCCCATATTCTTGCACCAAGGATCTACGATTCATACATATATACACAAATGTTACTCAAATCATTTGTCACAAGTCACAACTAATTGAAACAATCAAGCACTTTTTTGAGACTTTTGGTACCTCAAAAACTTACTCAATTCTATTAAAAAGAAAAATTAATTAATCTGAAAAAGTACTCCCTTTGACTCGGCTTTGATACTTAACACTTTACCAACTTTAATTATTTAGTTGTGCCAAAAGAATTCCTAAATTCCATTTAAGATCCCGATGTTTGACACTAATATTGGCTTAATATGATGAAATTGATAAAACACCGGTTGGAGTGATTGAATTGGTTGAATCTGTTAAATGATGAAAAATTATACTAGTATTTGAAATATGTTTTGCTAAGAAAATCAAGAAATAAATTATATGAAAAATAGCTAATCGGTCCTCTACAATGACATTAGTCAATCTAACCAGAAAAGTAATTAATGTCGACTTTACTAATTTTGAGTTTTAAATAATCTGAAAATATTAATATTAAAGGGCGGAATCATAATAAGTTTGAAAATATTCATTTGAGTTTTGAGATTTGAAAACCTACAAATTTTACTTTATTAATCCACATACACAGATACACTCTATTTTCATACACTTTTATGGGGCATTTTGTAGTATCAATATATATATTTAAAAGTTTCTAGTAAATTTATACACGCGGTTATAACTTTTTTTCCAAATCGAGTTGTTCAGGAGTAGGAGATGGACTAAAAAAAAGAGTGGGTTTTACAATGCATGGATGAAAAACAAGACAAAAAATGCAAGTATCTAAAAAAATGTGTCATATTTGCACGGACTAAAACTATACTTGAGCCCTTACGAAACACAAAATTTTGTTTTTTCAAGACTCTTTAAATATAGAAACTCTTACGAATGGGGATAAAGTATACGCACACGAGCATCTATTCTTATTTGCTCTTTCGTCCCTTAAAACTTTAATTGTCAGCTTTCCTTTTTTATTATCCTACTAACTTTTTCACTTTTTATTTTAAGTAAAGAGTTTGCAGTCCAAATTAATTATGTCTCTTCTACACATGCAAACTTCAACTACATGGTTTTTATTTTTTTAATCTTCATACTTGTCAAACTTGGCCAAATTTTAAGGGACATGGGAGTACAAAAAAATATTTGTCACGTCATATGAAAAACAGAAAACTCTCTTAATAATTTGGGGTGAATGAGTCCAATATTAATCCTATTTATGCTTTATCTATACATTATTATTTGAAAATTTTCCTCATTTAAATAGAAGTGAAGTGACTTGTATAGTTGTATTCATGCAATCATGCATGCCCGCGTTCAACTCGTTCAAAGTTGGTTGAGCGGATGGTCTATATGGGTCCATTACAATCAAATAATGTTTCTGGGCTGATTTGTCAACCCACAAGGCAGTCGGAGCTTTAGGCAGTTTAAGCCATGTCCGGTAATAAGCAGACCAAGCCAAAGGCCCAAAGGTGGGCTGCCCGACTCTACTAGTCATATCACACGTGTACGGCGTGCAGGAATATATTTTGGACCCTCTTTTAGTTTTGGTTTTAATGAATAGAGTAATTATCATTATTCTTCGGTTGATAATAGAGATCTGTGATGTTAAATCAACTTAAATGATGCTCTTAATTCTTAGATCCATTTATATAAGATAAAGCTTTATTTGGAATTTCCAATTATACAAATAAAATGTAGAGCAAAAGTAAGTACAATTTTAATGTTTTTATTGTATTTATATAATTACATATATATACATACAAAAAACTTATACTGAGTATATAACTACAGCACTCTTTAATTTGATAAGTTTTGTAGCTTAAATACATAAATAAACTTACTCTTGTAGTTACGTTTCCAAATTTTCTTTCACATACGGATTACTTTTTTTCATTCGCTCGTACGGACTACTTTTTTTCTTTCACACTCTCTATAAACACTTCCTTCTCTCCGTAACTTAAAATCCTTCTCATTTTAAAAGTAGATATATTTAAGAATAGTAAAAAGGGTATGAATTATTGAAGGTATAATGTTATCAACTTGTATTCAATATCTTAACTTCTCTCTCATTCTTCTGTATTCTATCAGTATAAATTAAAGGGTCATGGTTCGATCTCGATAATGGTGTACTGTAATCGATTGGTGTACTGTAATCCATGTAAGTGCTCACTAAAAGATAACAGCCCAGCCACCAAAATCCAATGAAATCCCAAGGGAAAGTTTTGGGCCCTTGAAAAGTTTTGGGCCCTTGAATGGAGAAGAATAAACTTCAACCATTATTATTCATTATATTTGTGTGATCTGCTTGATACTCTTAAACGCATTGAAATATTTATTTCACCGATTTGATATAAATAATAAATAATTTAATATATACTCTCGCAAGATTTTAGCTAGGGTATTCCTTCAATCATCATATTAATCATTTAAAATGGAACATTAGGTCATAATATGCTATATGGGTCAATTCAGCCCATAGATATAGGCTAAAGGAACAAATAGGCCCTTGAACTAACTTAAAGTGTTCAATTAGTCCTTTATATAGGACGTTTTGCCCGGCCATCGCCAATTAGGGCGGTTTCCGGTGGAACTTTTTGATGAAAATTTTTGAGCATCTTCTTCATTAAGTCTAGTTTATCCATACCAAATTTCAGTTAACAATTCATCAACTGGGAAGGCAGTCAAATGATTTTTTGAAGTAACTGTGCAGTTAAACAGTACATTACCAAGGTCTATTTGACCGTTTAGCCCATAGATATATATAAGGTGGGCACTTAAGGAAAAAATGAATTAAATTAAAAATGAAAATAACGTATAAACTACCGTACAATCAACGCCAACTAAACCAATGAAATGTATACATACTAGCACCTAGACAAAGTGTACGGTAATGAGGATATTCAAACAATCATTCCATAGCATTTTGAGTGTCAATAATGAACTAAAACTTCTTTGATTCCATAATTAAATTCTCTTTGACTTTCATATTCTTCTACATGAATGTTTGACTCTAAATATATAAAATATTTACATATAAATTTTATAATAAATTAACATTTGAATAATGTATTGCAATAATTATATGAACTTAATTTTGTGAGATAAAGTAATGTGAATTTTGAATAGTTGATGACTTGATGGTCAAAATTTAATCAAAAGGTCGAATTTAACTGTGCGACGGAGGAAGTGACTAAGATATGAACCATTGCTTTACCCTTTGGGTAGAATCTTATTATGCCTAAGATGAAATATGGAGTATCATTTTTGTGTGTGTGTGTGTATATATATATATATATATATATATATATATATATATATGTATATGTATATATATATATATATATATATATATATATATACACACACACATATATATACATATATACATATAGAGAGAGAGAGAGGAAAGTTCATGTCAGGCCAGCCTGACGGGCTGCTCCGTCCGGCCGAGCCCGTTTGGGCACCTTCCCGGTGGAATTTTTTGATGAAATTTTTTGAGCAAGTTCCTCATCAAGTCTAGTTTGTCCATACCAAATATCAGCTCAAAATTCGATCGGGAAGACATTCAAATTAGTTTTTGAAGTTGACCGCAGTTTTATATGTATATTTTGACGCAGTCAACTTCAAAAAATGATTTGAATACCTTCCGATCGAATTTTGAGCTGAAATTTGGTATGGACAAACTAGACTTGATGAGGAACATGCTCAAAAAATGTCATCAAAAAATTTCACCGGGAAGGTGCCCAAACGGGCTCGGCCGGACGGAGGTTCCCGTCAGGCCGGCCTGACGAGAAGAGTACTCTATATATATATATATATATATATATATATATATATATATATATATATATATATATATATATATATATATATGGGAAGGTTCCAGTGAGAAAGGAGTCCTAGGAGAGAAAAAAGAATGACATCTCACCATTCATATATTTAACCGGATGGTTAGGATTCTAGTGGAGTTAAAACATCCGTCCACTAATTTAGTAAGGTGGAGAAGTTTTAAATGGAAAGAATTCATTTTAATAAATACGTAGGGGCTCAATGGTAATAAGTAGTTTGGCACGCATGTAACACATTTGCTAAAATCATGGGCAGTTTCGTGCCCATTAAAGTGATCGTCCATTAAATATTAGATATTTATTAATATAATAATGATTGTGCAAAATGATCGTGCATTATTCTATTGCAAAATGATCGTTCATTTTGTTAATATAATAGACAATGACAATGATCGTGCAGTATTCTATTGCAATACATGGTTATTAAAGTACATGTGCAAAATATAATTTATTTTATGTAAAGTGCAGATTTTATGCATACAAAGACAATTAGATTTTATATATAATTTAAAATATGTGCAAAAACCAAATCATGAATGTGCATGTGGTAAATATTCAAAGTGCATTATTACATTTTTATATTACCATCATAATTATATCCCAATGTTATATATACAATCTTATTATTTATGTAAGATATGCACTTTATAAAATCGAAATTTGCACTTTTGATAGGTTATATATCTGTTTCAAGCAATAACCTTATATTTTTTTATGTGCACTATTAATAGCAATGAACACTTTTTGCACTTTATCAAAATTCGTGATGCAATTTTATGTTATGATTGTTCCTTTTAATTTACATTATTGGTTTTATAGACATAAATAAAAGTAGTTTTTTTGTTTAAGTGTAGAAATGCACATTTGTCATGTGTTAATTGCACTCTGGGAAGTAATAATGCAAACGCATTAATAATTCGATAAAGTATAATGTGTATTTGATGAAACGGAAATGTGCATTAGGTGAGATTGTAATGTGCAGAGTAAAAGGTAAACACAAATGTGCATTACGTGAAATTGAAATGTGCAGAATAAAAGACACAAAATGTCACCGCATCGTAGTTTTTATTTTTGCACACTTCGGATTCACATAATGCACATTTCAATTTCACCTAATACACACTTTAGCTTCACATAATGTCATTGT